TTTTTTTTTTTTTTAATTTCATTAAAGGGTGTCATTGTCTATGAGAGTAACTCCAATGGAATGCTACAATACAACTTGGGGCAAATCCAAAAATAAATGTTGGGTCATGAGTCTTCCTATAATTGGCCCTCCTAGAGACTTTATTTCAACTAGTAAAGGCACAAGTTCTTAATAAATCATGCAAAAAAGTCAAAATTAATTAAATTACTTTAAGATAATATTTTGGATTTCTGATTTTCTTGTCTAAAAAGAGTCAGATACGAATCTCTTTTTCTCTAATAAAATTAAAAACCTTGGGTTATGCTTTCTTGAGAAAGAATTACCTATTCTCTAGCAAACAAGAGAAGTGCCAAAAAGACAAGACCAACTTGACAAGAAGAAAGAGCAAAGAAAGTGTCAAGAGTTTGTTTGTCTTATTGCATGACATTTTTTTGATGTTTCGTAGCTAGGCTTTGGGTTCTTTTGATTCTTTTGCCTGACCCATCTTTTTGAACCCTGAAAAATTAATTTGTTACAATTTATTTATGATTTGGGTTTTAAGTTTAGATTTTGGGCCTCAAAAATTTCCTCTACTACTTAAATTCCTTTTACTAATTTGGGTATTTGATAGAGTTGAATGGGTTGTTAGGGAAGATTAGGTGGTTGTGGCCTGTGGGACACAGCATATTTCCTCATTATGGGCTACAGTTTCCTAGCCCATACCAATAATGACTCTCATTCCATCCTATTTATTGGCATCATATATATTTAATAGTTTACATTCAATGTGTCATAATTGTATAGGCAGTCACTTAATCACAGAATGTCACTCCATAAATATGTAAACAATTCTTGATTTTAAATTTATTTATTAACGAGATGATAACATTTGGCTCACTATATTATATATTGGTAATATATCGAATATAAATATTTTATATAATCAAATTTTCACCTCTAATAATTCCACAAGAAAAAAAAAATAATGTTAAGATATTTCATTTTATTATAGGTGATACTATTAGCCTAAACTTGAGGTATCCTAACAATATTTAATATAAGCAAAATCCTTTTGAAAAATTTAGTCTAAATTGCATGGTTTGGCATGCCCCAAGTGTCTGTCTTGACATCATACTTAGTATATTTCTTGATTGATTGGTAAGTTTCTTGGGGAATTGTTGGAATTTCATGGTCTTAAATCAATTTTTTACTCCCCATATACATATACATATATATGTAATTTTAGCATTCTTCGAAAGAATCCCATTTGTTGTGTAATTAAAATTAATGCATAAAATCAGAAATAATATGAAATTTTTGACTCATTAATGATGGGATCAAAAAGAAATGCCAGATATAAAATTTTCTATTTCTGGGTTCATGGAAAATGATTCAAAGAAGAATATACTGAAAATGTTGTGCACAAAATTAGTTATAGCTGTTGAATTTCATGCCATTCAATTCAACCAAAGGTTCAAGCGCACAACACCTACAAGCTAGGGTTCTTGCCATTTACATTGCTTAGATGGAGAACTCAACAAATGGAAGGTGCCCTTTGTTGGCCCCATGTCCACATAGTTTCTGTCCAATTATGAACAACGTTTTGGAACTAGTCCAATGATGAACAATGAAAAATAATGAGAGTGAAAGACTTTAGACTTGGATGAAATCATACCCCTTAAACTAAATTCAAGCATTAAAACCAACAAATTTGTGAGTAAAGATTTCAGATGAAACCTGTTAGTACAATAATTTCACTTGCAATAAAAACAAAAGCATTACTGTCTTGGGATTAGTCCCATGTTACTCAAGCTGTAAACAAAAGTTCTGAAAGGTCAATGGAAACAACAAGGGCACCAACTCAACCAACTACGATACTTCACTGCATGTTACTATGTTTTTATGCTTTAATTATGTGATTTAACAGCTATTTTCAACACCCAAAAACAAGTCAGGATGTTCTGTTCTTCTTCTTTAAATGTGTCTGCAATTTATTTGCACATTGAAAACAACACCACCGAACACTCTGATCCACACTCTCTCCCCTCCCTTTTACTCAATCACTGCCCCCCTTCAGTGTTAATTGGTTTTTCTTTCTGTCTCTGGTGTTTCATTGCATCTTTGACCTTCTCTTTCCTTAATAAAACATCCCACCTCACAAAATTTTAACACTTTGTTGTACTTTGATGCTACTTCCCAAGCCAAAAAAAGGTTGAAGATTCTCACTTTTAGCTACCTTTGTTTTCCGGTTTGTTTCTTTTTAACTTGTTGCTAAGCATTATCTTCTCACTTCTCAGCTCCTTGGTGTGGAAAATGCAGAGTCTTTTTCCTGATATTTTCTGGTGCATTTGAGCTTGTTTCACTTGATTTGGTTTCCATTTATCTCAGTGGACATGGGTTTTGAAGTTCATTAGCTGCTTAGATTAGTTTAAAGGAAGCATCTTTCACTTCCTCTTTGAATGTGCTTTTGTAAGTATACCATTGCTTGATAAAAATTATTGGAATTCTCTCCTACTGTTAATTCAGGATGCAAACTTTGGATGCTATATTCATGTATATTCATCTACCTAATTCAAGCGTTGCAATTTGCTGTAGAAGTTCTTTATAGTTGAGCTTGAGTTCTTGTTGGTCCCATTCTGATATATTCAGTGAGATTTGTGGGGGTTGGGGACTTTCATTGAAGGCATGCAGCGATTCAATTTAGTATTTTTATTGTTTTCGGTAGTAACTGCATTAGGACAATCTGATTTTGAAGCTCTTTTAGAGCTCAAGAAAGGCATTGAGGAAGACCCTTCCGGGAAAGTCCTTGCTTCATGGGACTCGAAGTCCTTGGCATCAGATGGGTGTCCCAAAAATTGGTTTGGAGTCATCTGTACCGGCGGTCATGTGACTTCAATCACTCTAAATGACTTGGGTTTGGTTGGAAACTTCAGTTTCCCTGTCATTGTTGGTCTAAAAATGCTTCAGAATTTATCTATTTCAAGTAACCAGTGGACAGGGACCATCTCAAACATTGGCTCCGTTCTGTCTCTTGAGTTTTTGGACCTCTCAAGCAATGCCTTTCATGGGGCTATACCATCAGGCATTATCAATTTAAAAAATTTAGTACTTCTGAATCTTTCTTCAAATCATTTTGAAGGCACATTTCCCTCTGGTTTTAGCAATCTTAAGAGGTTGAAATATTTAGATTTGCGGTCTAATGGCTTTTCCGGGGATATTATGAATCTTCTGTCCCAATTGGAAAGTGTGGCGCATGTGGACCTGAGCAGTAATCAGTTATCTGGTTCACTGGACTTGGGACTTGGAAGCTCCAGTTTTGTTTCTTCTATTCAGTATTTAAATATAAGTCACAATTTGTTGGTCGGAGAGCTCTTTGCCCATGATGGAATGCCATATTTTGACAGTTTAGAAGTTTTTGATGCTGGCAATAATCACTTAGTGGGAACTATACCTTCCTTCAATTTTATTGTCTCTTTGAGGATTCTTCGGCTTGGAAACAACCAGTTGTCAGGATCACTACCAGAAGCTCTTTTGCAAGAAAGCTCAATGATCTTGTCAGAGCTGGATCTTAGCCTTAACCAACTTGAAGGTATTCCCCTTTTAATAGCTTACTATAACTTCTAAGTCATGTTAATTTACTTTCTCTTTTTTCATAACTTCAGTGAGCAATTGTGTCTGTCAATGTATATTGTGCCACTCATTCCTAGGCTGCATTATATATAAATCTGACTCTGCCTTGTTAACTATAGTTATGTGGTTCTGGTCATGCATTGGCAATGAATCCACCAAAGCATTACATTATGTGTAGTCTATTCGTAGCATTGCCTCTTTTGATTTTTGACAATATAAGCTGCTCCCTGTTCTTCCAGATTTTGGAAAGTAATTTTGTATTCTCCATACCTGTAACAAAATGGGACAGGAAAAGAAGTTTGTATGGATTACGGGACGGGGGATCAAACTAGCATGGTATCCATGTGAAATGAGAAGAAGTTACGCAGATGTTCTAAAAAATAAGAACTTAGAATAAATGTTTGAAAACATTAGTAATAAGCATCTAACCTTAACCTTCCATGTAGTTACGATATGTTCAAAATTTAAAGTTCAGAGCTTATAACCATATATTTTCTAATTGTTTATATAATGCCAAGCAGTGTGATTACTTTTTACAGTCTTTCCCTAGTGTAATACCTTGGTGTGAAGTCCTTCTATATTAATTTGCAAGTATGGTGGATTCAGTCACTAGGTCCTCTCTGTCTGTTTAGAATGTGCGCTTTAAAGTCAATTGTTCAAGGTTTCATACGTCAATTAAAAGCTATGATTTTCAGATTGTGGAAGACCATAGTGTCCTACTATATTTTCAAACTCTTGTTTATAATTTTTTTTCCATCATAAAATTTCTACATCCATGGCAGGACCAGTGGGAAGTATAACCTCAGCAACTCTAAAGAAGCTCAACATTTCGTCAAACAAACTCTCAGGCCCCCTGCCGGTTAAGATTGGGCACTGTGCCATTCTAGACCTCAGTAGTAACATGCTTTCAGGAGACTTGTCTAGAATCCAGGGTTGGGGAAATTATGTGGAAATCATTGAATTGAGTTCAAACTCACTGACTGGGACCTTGCCAAACCAAACTTCTCAATTTTTAAGGCTGACTACATTCAAAGTATCAGACAACTCATTAAAGGGTGTTCTTCCAGCAATATTAGGTACATACCCAGAATTAAAAGTGATTGATCTGAGCCTCAACCATCTTACCGGGGCCCTCCTTCCAAGCTTCTTCACGTCAACAAAATTGACTTATCTCAACCTCTCAGGCAATAACTTTACGGGGTCAATACCTCTTCAGAAAATACAAAATATACCTTCCGTAAGTTCTGCTGAAAATTTGAGCCTGGTGACTCTTGATCTGTCATTTAACTCACTAAGTGGCCACTTGCCCCAGGAGATTGCCAAGTTCCATAACTTGGATTTTCTTAGCCTATCCAATAACAAATTTGAAGGCAGCATTCCTGATAGCCTTCCTGATGAACTGAAAGGATTCAATGTGTCTTTTAATAATTTCTCTGGTGCTATACCTGACAACTTGAGGGGGTTTCCTGATTCTGCATTCCATCCAGGAAACTCTTTCTTGAGGTTTGGTTCTTTTCCATTGACACCAAAAGGTTCTTCCAACCTAAATTTGAATGAGCGTAGGTCTCAGATGAAACCTGTTACCAGAATTGCCTTAATTGTAGGCTTGGTTGGTGGTGCTGCCATAATAGCTCTTGTGTGTTTAATGATATATTATAGGACCAACTGGCAGGAAACTAGGAGTGACCATTTGAAAAGAAATGTGGGAAAAGAAACTGTGCAAGGGGAGTTTTCCCTTTCTCATACATCAGCACCTTACAAAGGTAAGGATTCGTCATCATCCTCATTTAGTTTTCGTCAAGAGCTTTTGTCGTCATCCAAAAAGGATTCTGTATATGATCATGGTAACCGTTCATCAGTTTTAAATGACCTTAAATATTTTGGTCACCCTGAGTCCATGGGAAGAGATGAAGAATTGGCTTCACCCATGTCTCTCTTGTCATCTTCAAATGCATCTCCATCAAAAAGCCAATTTCAATTTGAGAGTCCTGGTGCATTAAAGGTTCGTTCTCCTGATAAACTAGCTGGGGATCTGCATCTCTTTGATGGCTCTCTAGCACTTACTGCAGAAGAACTTTCACGTGCTCCAGCTGAAGTTATTGGAAGGAGTTGCCATGGGACATTATACAAAGCTACACTTGACTCTGGTAATATATTGGCTGTCAAATGGTTAAAGGAAGGGATAGCAAAAAGCAAAAAGGAATTTGCAAGGGAAGTCAAGAAACTGGGGTACATCAAGCACCCAAATTTAGTTTCTCTTCAGGGTTATTATTGGGGTCCTAAGGAGCATGAGAAGCTGATCATATCAAATTACATAAATGCACAATGTTTGGCCTTCTATCTTCAAGGTAAGATTCTGTTCCATGTGTGATTATAGGTTTTGGTCATTTGTGGTTGTTGGGTTGCAGACTAGAAATTACTGCACTTTTAATTTTTGAGATTTGTGGGGAAGGGTAATCAAAGGCCAATATACTGCTCCATAATCCAGTATGATAAGTTGAAGCTTTCCTGGATGTCAAATTTTCTGGATCTGGATTAACCACCTTCTGCATTTTGCATAGTTTCTACACAACTAAACAAAGAAACTGCCTTTATGATTATGAGTTATGAACTGCGGAGTTTGAAATCTAAATTTGTTATAGAATGACACTTGTGACTCTAATGCTGGATTAATATGTGAGATTATACACAATTATGAGGAAAACTCCTAAAATATATGCTAGATATTTGATACTATAGAAGTGAGATTTTCACTTGAACTGAAGCACTGTCTTTTGCTACATTTCAGTCAGTTAATCCAGTAGATGGAATTGCTTGCAAGAACACCATTAATCTCAAACTCTTTCCACTTTTCTCATAGAAAATTGTTTTTAAGAGTGAGGCTTTATTTGATGAAGGCAAAAGTGATATCTCCTGTTCCGATCTTTGTCTCAAACTGTGAATTTGTATATACTGTGTTTGGGTTCCTCTGCTTTAATGATTTTTATTTCTTCTGCAGAGACAGAGCCAAGAAAATTGCCACCCTTGTCTCTGGATGAACGGCTTAGGGTTGCTATAGATGTGGCCCGATGTCTGAACTACCTTCATAATGAGAGAGCAATACCCCATGGCAACCTCAAGTCGACAAACATTTTATTAGAATCTCCTAATATGACAGCACGCCTCGCTGATTACAGTCTCCATCGGGTACTGACATCAGCTGGCACAGCTGAACAAGTTCTGAATGCAGGTGCTCTTGGCTATCGGCCTCCTGAGTTTGCCAGCTCCAGTAAACCATGTCCTTCTTTAAAAAAAGTGGATGTCTATGCCTTCGGGGTCATATTGATGGAGCTCCTGACTGGTAAAAGTTCGGGGGAGATAGTTTCGGGGAGCACAGGTGTGGTTGATCTAACTGACTGGGTGAGGTATTTAGCAGCAGAAAACTGTGCTGAAGAGTGCTTTGATCCGATGATTATGGAAAGGGATAATGTGGAGCGCACACATAGAACTCTGGATGCCATGCTACAGGTGGCTCTGAGATGCATTCTGCCAGCACAAGAGAGACCCGACATGAAATCAGTTTATGAAGATCTCTCAGGAATAGTGTTGTAGTAAGGTAAACAAAAGGGGTTCTAACTGTGTAGTTCTTTTAACACTAACCCCCATTTATTGGTTCTTTACTTTCATAAGTTGGACTTCCATGTCACAAATTGTCTTCTCCTGCTGTTAAGTTCTAACACTGGTACAAAATTGGTAATGTAAGTATCAATTGGATAGGGTTTGTATGAAGGTAAGGGAAGGAATAAAGTTCATTTGTAGATGGGTGGGTTATACCATTCCTTTTTAACCCTTATCTAGAAATGTAATCTTAGGTTCAGTTTGATTGACTCATCTTATGGCCTTTACATTTCCATCTCTATCCTTCCTGATGAGGTCATGTTGGATTAATGTTAAACAATTCACAGGAACAACATGCATCCATGTTTGATAATTGAAATCGGATTATGAACAATTGGGAGGACATGGTTTATCTGGCATCTGCATGCGGGTGAAATTTAACAACCAAATGCAGAAAAAGTCTGGCAAAAACTCAGAAATCTCTCTGAAGAACTGCAAATCTTACTTGTGATGTTCCTCCATTAGGGGGGGGGGGGGGGGGGGGGGGGGGGGGGGGGAGGGGGGGGGGGGGGGGTGGGGGGAGAGGGGGTAAGGCTTTCCTCTTAATTTTAAAATGAATGGCTTTAGGGCATTGCCACCAGATCATTAGGGGCTGGACAAAGCTACTTCACAACAGCAAGACGTAGCATTATCACTTTATCAGGTACTCCCTATTTGCAATTCAGGAATGAATAAACAGTGTGCAAGGCACCTGATTAACTTAAGAAATTACTACCTATTTTGGCAGCTGATCAGTGGGATGTTTCTTCTTTTACTTGGGGTTGAGCTAATCTTCACGTACCTGCAAAGAAACATGTGGCCATGTAAACTTTACACTTTCAAAATTTCAAAAAGCAAGAACATAGAATTCTTGGAGACAGCTGCCTTTCTACCCTCGCTTTTTTAACTTCCTAACCAGATTTACTTGGTCAAAAATGGTAGGTTCAATTCGGTTTCTCCGGCAGCCATTGGATTTCTTTGAAGGGTTTAGCAGGGACTAGAGAGGCTTGATGAAGAATATGATTTCACTGTCGTGGGGGTCAATTATTTTTTTTTAAAAAACTAACTTATTAATACATGCATGAGCACAATTTTCTTTAATCTCTTCGATGTAAAATTTTATAATATTCTCTCTTATATGAATTTGCGACATGTTTGCTACTTTTATCTACTCCGAAGCTTCAAGCTAACAGTTTCGAAAATGTTTGGGTGCTTTTCACTTTTTCATAAAGGGATACTTTGCCTGTAATTTGGCCAATGTTCAAGTCAATGAAGCTGTCCAAACTATTACACTAATATCAGTTAGTTTTATTAGTATGCTTTCGTCTCCAAGCATCGGCAGCACCTAACCATTTATAAAATTCTTCAACTGCCCCATAATTTAATTTCACAATACGGCATTTCTATTTGACAAAAACCAAGCTTTGAAATCTTCTCAACTTCCCTGACGAAACCGACACTATTATTCATCCTTGATGATAACACTCTTTTGGTTTTATTTTCTTTATCCATCTTTCCTTGTCACCAACACAATTTAAAAGTAAATTGCTATAAAATGATTAGCCTGCCTGAATGCTTGGCGATAACCTCATAACCAAAGCAATAGCAGCAATTGAGGAATGTCCAATTGTATATCCCATGATGAATTCAACATATCAAACCCAAAAAAGAATTTAAAAAAAAAAACAATTGTAGATATGTCCCATGTTTCCTTGGTGCCAACAAAGTGATTGTCGTTTTTATAACTGATATCGAGCTCCTCATGTCGTTTTCGCCATTAAAATGGAACACATTTTGTCTATTAATTTGTAAGAAGATTTCAATATGTGTGTAAAGGTGCCAAGGAATCATCAGGTGGTGGCCGTGGGCTAAAAGGCTGAAGCTCCCCAAGGGATGGCGTGGGAACGCGGCTCTCACAAGTTAGAAATAAAGAAACGTGTGGTCCTTTGTAGGGGCAAGTGCCATGCCAATAACTCCTTAATTATAACATCTGTTGTTTGAAATTCGATTAGGTACATAAGTGTTTATATTATTTTTAATTTATAAAATATTTTTTAAAATAAAATTATAAAATATAATAAATTAAAATGAATAATATTTTATAAATTGATGTGAAACATAATATTAATTATCAATATTACGATAAATATTTTTTTATGATATGATGGTTACTATTTTCTAATATCTTATAAAAATAAATAAAAAAAGAAGAAAATAATAAGAAACCAATAATCTTAAACCTTACTGGGTAGACATCATAATCAAGCAAAGGAGAATTTTGTCACTAAAAGACAACCTAAGATGGTCATTATCCGCCATTAAAGGGGGGCCCATGCCAACTGGTCCACAATAAGGCACATTCAGTTTTCCCACACGGAAAACAAAAGAAAAAAGCAAACAGATAAAACGAGGGGAAGATGTGTCTGGCACAGATGAAGTGACAAAGAAAACACGCACACAGGTGAGGTGAGGGCAGTTTCTGGACTCTTTCGCTTCTCTTTAATAGTTCTCTTTTGTTGACATCATTGTCTGAACTGTACTCCATGTTTTACTAATTCCTTACCTTCCATATTTCTATTCTTTATATTTATGTGGCAAAACCCTTGGCTTTAGTCCTATTATTCTCAACTCTTAAGACTCATTCCCCCTTCCTCTTGTCTATCTAGTCTTCAGACAGCTACAGCCAGCATCGAGGAAGAAGAAAGGAAAAGAAGACTCTTTTGATTTCTCTCTAATTCCTGAAGAACCCCATCTTGGTTTTTGCCAGCTTCAGCTTCTCAGGTATGTTCTCCCATTGTTATAGCTTCCCTTTTCTTGCTTTAGTCATTCTGTTTGTGAATCTTCAGACTCATTCCTCTTTATCTCAGACAGCTACAACCAGCATTGAGGAACAACAAAGAAAAGATTGTTTTGATTTCTATTTGATCCCTGAAGAACCCTATCTTGGTTTTCTGAGAATTTACTAGTTTCAGCTTTTCAGGTATGTTCTTCCAATGTTGTGCAGCTTTCCTTTACTTGCTTTAGTCATTCTATATCTGAACTCTTCATACTAATTCCCCTTTCCTCTGTCCATCTCCAGGCAGGCCACAGCCAGCATTGAAAAAGAAGATTGTTTTGATTTCTCTTAGATTCTTGAAGAAACCCCACCTGGGTTTTCTCAGAGTTTGCTAGTTTCAGCCCTTCAGGTACGTAATTCTCCCAATGTTCTAGCTTTTTCTTCTTGATTCTCTCAAACTCTGGTTTTCTAGCTTTTCTTGTTTCTTTCGCTCTCCCTTTGCTTGTCTCTGCCCCCTCCATGAATCATAGAGTGCAACTAGCTGAATTCTGACAGATCAATGTCTGACATATCAATGCACATCAACTTTCGATTAATAAAAAAAGGTTTTAGGAATTGATTAAGGTTTCTAGTGTAAACGTGCAACCCATTACTAGGCAATATCTATCATTTATTTGTTTCTTATTATTGATATTGCAATTATCATAAAATCTTGATGATTCTGAATAATTATCATAATCAGGGGACATGGATCTTGTTTTCCATGAGTGATGCAATATAGACTTTATTTATTAATATCCCAAATTCCTTCCTGCCTGGCATGCTCACCATATTAGCCTAATCCTTTCATTTCCTTTACTACTCCAATGACTTACCTACATTAATAAGAGGAGAAGCAGCAGCAATAAGTAGCAATAGTTATTAACGATTTATCGTTTGATTTGTACTTCTAATTTCAATGATTATTTTTTAAACCCGTGATATATGATGCTATCATAATTTTTATTTCACATCAATTATAATGTGATTACGTCAATTATCATTTGACCAAATCATCCTGTAATGTCATATGATATGTGGGTAAACATTAATTGTTTGTTAAAATTAAAGACTCTATAGTAAATACTAAATAATAAAAGACCTATTTAGACATGGAAATTTCTTAATAATTAAGCCAAATTCCAATATATAAGCAGCCATGACCTTAAGCAACCTAGAGTTGAAACATAGGCTTTGCTGTCACTTACCATGTCCGCCATACTTTTTTTTTTGTTTTTTTTCCCTTAATTTCCGCTAGTTATGCTTCTTTTTTTATTATTTTCCTACTGAATAAATACCATAAATAAAAAATATTCTTAGTAGAGTGCAATAATTTCTGAGTTTGATTTTCTTTTTTAGAGAATAAATATCTTGCTAAATCCTTTGACTTAACGTGCGGAATTTTTGTTCAATCACGTCTGGATGTATAGCCAATTAGTCATATAATTAAGACAAGTAAATCCCTAAATTTTTGTCCGCGATATTGGCCACATCAGAGGGTCCCCCAGCCTTCGCATAGGGATGACATGGCAATTTATAATTGGTTGCTCTTGCCCTTTATTTGAAATTCCTAGTTTGCCCCCAAGCCGCGTAAACCAGACCTTTTTAAATACACTATGCGAAGCATTGTTTCACACTCGGACAATTTTTAGTTTAACAGCCGCTTTCTCGCTTTGCTTTCTTCTTGCAGTGAGTCACCGATTAAACAGGATAATGGCCGAGCGAGTCCACCCGGGCGACTCACCACGCGTTACCAACGAACAGTCCGCTTCGAAGCTAGCACCTCCGTCCCCTGAAAAACCAGTTCCACAACCAGGCACTTACGTCATCCAGATCCCCAAGGACCAAATCTACCGCGTTCCTCCGCCGGAGAACGCCCGTCGCTACGCGCATCTCTCGAAACGTAAGGCTAGCCGGAGCACGTGTCGCAGCTGCTGTTGCTGCTTGTTGACCGTCATCCTCGTTCTCCTCCTCGCCGTTGCCATTGCCGCCGCAGTGGTGTACTTCGTTTTCAAGCCAGAGTCTCCAAATTACTCCATCGAGAGCGTGGCGATCAAAGGACTCAACCTGACGTCAACGTCGCCTCTCTCTCCGGAGTTCGACGTCTCCGTCCGGGCACATAACCCCAACGACAAAATCGGTATTTACTACGAGAAAGGCAGCTCCGTCAAAGTTTACTACGAAGACGTCAACCTCTGTAACGGCGTGTTGCCCGTCTTCTACCAGCCGACGAACAACGTAACGGTGTTCCAAACGGCTTTGAAGGGCTCCGGAATCGAACTAACAAACACCGCGCTGAGGGCGCTTTCTGATGCGCAAAACAAAGGAACGGTGCCGTTCACGTTGAAGCTGAGAGCTCCAGTTAAGATTAAAGTGGGGTCCATTAAGACGTGGAAGATCACCGCTAAGGTGACGTGTAAGATAACGGTGGACAATTTAACGGCGGCGTCTAAGATTGTGTCGAAGGATTGTGATTACGGAGTAGATCTTTGGTAGTCATTGGAATACAGTTGGTACAATTGGAGTGTTTGGTCACGGGGATAGTCCTACATGGCTATTGTAGTATTTTTTGGGGAGGAACCTTTTTTGTGATTATTATATCCTAGTTGTGGTATACATGATACAGATTTTCAATTAACATTGCATGAATATTATATGATATGGTTTATTTAATTTTTTTCTATCTTACCTAAACAGGAACACAGCTAATCATATGATTCAAATTTTGAAGATTATAATGTTTCCGAATAATTCAAGAATTGATTAAATTTTGAAGATTATAAAATCTTGGAATAATTCGAGGATTGGAAATCATCTGTTTGGTTTACATAATTTGTTTGACTATTTATGTATGTGGTTGTTGCTTGAATGTAAGTCTTGGGCAATTTGCTAGTGATGGTTGCACATTTGCAAGGAATGTAGGAAAAGTAGACCCATGTTTGGGAGAATCATTCCAAGAAAGTGAAATGTTGTGGAAAATTTTGGGTTTTTGTGATCTCAGGACTTGGTCATGCATGTCACTATTTGGAACAGTTCAACCATTAGAAAAGTTATGATCAAAAGGACTCCATCACTTAACTGTGAAACTTGATTTATTATTATTATTATTATTAGTAAACTAATCATGGTCTGGGAATAAGTTTCCATGGAAATTATTGATTAGTGGCAGAAACCAGGAAACAGAAAGGAGATTTTCATATAAAAATGGTGTGAAGTCAGCTTCCAACACCTAACCTGATAATCACCTGATGAAGGAAGTATAGTTTTAACAGAGAAATTGGGGTTTTCCTTCTAATTTTGAGGGATTTGGACTTTATATCCTGAAGATTTTCCAGAGTTTTCCTGTTTCAGAAGCCGAAGCTACTGCTCACTGCCTTAACATGACTTCCTGATTGGATGCATAGTGTGGATACTTAAATAACAATTTCATCCATTGAAATAACCAGAATGAGAATGTTAGGGATGAAAAGTTTATCTTGGTTTCCTATGCTCAGTATTGGGGGGAAAAAAGTAACAAAAAAGACTATACAAGTTTTGTTTCATACCTCTATGTTACAGCTTTGGCCTACAAATCACCCCTTATGACATCCATTTTACAAAAGCAGAGCGTCTTTATTGAGTTACTGAATGTAACAGGAAGGGTTTCTACCAAATACCCTTTTATTCCTATATTCAATATAAAAATGCTGCATGCTATGTGAGATGCTTCCTTTTTCTTAAACACGGTTGCCATGAATGCTTGGAAACCTTGTGTCCGTCTTCTGCAGCCCAACTCTTTTCCAAGTAGTAAGTTTACGCCTGTGACTTCGATTGATCCTTGGAATGGTTGTTGCTTTGATTGTTGCTCTGATCATTATTTTCTTCACTGCCGTTCTCTGCTCCTTGGACGGACAAATCATAACTATGCTTAGCTTCTTGAATTTCCTCGTCAAGTTCTGAATACATCCTCACAGATGCTTCCGCGAAAGCCTTCAATTGACCAAGAAAGAAAACTAAGCTTGTCCCAAAAGAATCCTTCAAAGCATTATTTCTTAACATGTTATATTCAGATTCATTGATGTCGTCATCCTTCCGGGATACTGACATCCTCTCTTTCAAAGCATCATTTCTTGACATATTAATTGCAGAATCACTGTTGTCATCCTTCCCAGATGCTGAATACGGATGATTAGCATCCTTCCCCTCATTGTTTTCATGGTGTGGTAAAAACCCAGATGTATCAGCTGCCAAACGTTTAATGGACTCTGAGACATCCTTTATAGTAGGCTCCAACGCATCAAGCTTGTCAAACCAAGCACCACATGTTACATATATTGGAGGGCCAAATTTTCTCAAAAATTGGATTTCAAAGTTTAACCTCTTAGATTTCTTGAAAGGTTTTTGTTGAATAGAAACACATTTCCCAAGCCAACTGTTTATGGCTTTCAGATAAGCTTTCTGGGCACCAATCCACTTTGTAAAACTTGAAGACAGCATGCTTAGTTCAACTTCAAGATGAGCGGTGATCTGCCGATGTGATTCAGACAGCACAGAGATTTTCATGTTGCCAGTCTTGTATGCTACAGAGATAATTTGAAACTGACGCCTGTGACATTCAAACATTACTTCCCACATTCGACTCAACCTGTGTTGACACAATAAGTGAAACAGATGATTTAGAAGAATATTTCAGATATGAGCACAAGTAAAACTATTTTAGGAAGTAAAAGTATCAGCTCTACAGAGTCATAAAAGAATGGCAGAAATGGCAAATAATATCATCATAGCCAAAGAGATTTATTAGTGCATAATTGCCATCAATGGTTCATGCAAAAGTCAGCCTCTTGTTCTAGGAGAAGAAAAAAGAATGCTTCATCTTCCCCTGCAAGCAAAGAAATGATAAAAAGAAAAGGCACAGAAGAAACACAGGAAAGAGGGAAAAAGGAAATAAAGCATAGCATATGACAATAGTTCCTTAATGTACTAATATGATGGGGAAATAATTGTCAGAAGAGGAAAAGCATTAATGCAAACATACCCTTCAATCAACTCCTCAAGTTGAGGCTGCAGCTCATTGTCCCGTAAATCCTCAATCCTTTTCGATATCGAGTGAATCCTGTGGATTGCAACTCTAATTCTTGAGTGCAAATCCTTGACAACAGCTCGAGTCTTGTCAATTTTGTTTGAACTCTCTCCCTTGGACTCCAGCTGTCTTAAGATTTTACACTTCAAGTCATACTCATTTCGGACTATCTCACTGGCCTGAAGTTAAGAGAAATTAGAACATTAATAACTTTCAATAATCATATTAAATTCTTATGCCTCCAAACACGTCACTGCTTGACTAAATAGTGCAACCTCAAGGCTTCAAAAACTTAGGTTGCAAAATTGGAGAACTTTTGACTTTGAGAAACAACATCAAACAAGCCACAACTCCACTCAAATAGGAGTAAACTATTTGAAGTCTAACTCTGAACCAATTTGAGGGACATGCTGCCTAGAGACTAAAACATAGGAAATTCATTTTCCTAGAATTTGAAGCTATCTTCTTGAAGGATTCCCTTTTTAATGGTAATTTTTAACAGCAAAAACATCAGTAGACAATCACTTCAATTCCTAGTCCATCTAACCATCAAATATTGAATTGATCTTGGAATATCCTATTTCACCTAAGCTGGACTCAGAATGTCTAAACAGAAGGCATATAACCTGAGATGAAAAACTTCTCTGCAAATCTGGAAGGTAAAAAATAGCAATAGAAAAAACAAAAACAACTAATACCTTTACTTCATCATAAAGCTTCCTCTCCCATGCATATAGTCTATCCAAGGTCGAGGCATGACTGCCTGAAATCATGCAGGTATTATAGAAAAAATTGTTGTTAAGGTCCTCAGCGTCATCCTTTAAATTTAATCCCTGAGGATTCCCAGATGAAGATGATCGAGATGATGTTGTCCTATGCCAAGTCAAGTACTTTACAGCAGTTTGAGGAGGCTCTAAGCAAAGATAATAATGGATTAGCAGAAGAATCAAGATTGAAGAAGGTACCCATAAAAGAAAACTTGCAGTAATCCCTTCAATATCCCATATTGATGATAACCACAAAAAAAATTGTTAACACTAGTCCCTTAAATATGTGAAGTTTCCTGTTGTATCCATTAATATAACTCCACTTTCCTCCAGTCACTGCACCTTAATATGCATAACTTGCATGTAATTTCTAGTAAAATGTATTCTTAAAAAAACTGAAGTAGATATTCTGCATTAGAAAAGAAGCATCCCAGTCTCACTTTAAAAAGTTGGCAAAGCAGTCAGTTCCAACTTCTACAGTTTCATTGTGTAATGCTTTCATGAAAGGATTTCAAGGCTATAAAATATTCATAAGTCAATTTATCATCCTCTGACATTAATGTTTTCTTAATATTAGTCATTCACTCTACCACCTTACAAGCATATTTTCACGATATAATGATATATCCCATTTGTTATCTTTACACGACAGTTCCTTCTGCCAAGTAAGTATATGCTATTTGATGCATGGTAATATTCATTCACTACCAAGAAATGTATTTTATTACTAAACAAAAATGCATGGCACTACACCATAAAAGAGCTCAAAATGCTTCAACATGGTCACGACTTATTTCTAAGTTATAGTAGGTTATGAAGATTTACCTTCTTTAACTTGGCTTGGATCTTCTCCGCACGAGAAACAGGCCTTGAAAAACGTGGATGTCCTCAATCCACCTGCAATGGTAGAAAGTTCTATTACCAATAACTTTCACCAACTCAGATCAATGTAAGAAAGGTCAACTATTTCCTATGGTCCTTCAATGAAACTGAATAAAATGGAAGTTTCTTCCCAAATCTCCATAAATTCAAATTTGTTTAACTGCCAAGGCTTCAACATATACAAATTAGTAAGCAATATTGAAATGCATTCAATCCAATTCATTCTTTAGCTGCCATTATGCAGATAAATGATAAAATTTGGAAATTTGCAAAATACAATTGTGCCCCTTCTCACTCACATACACAATTGCTAAGTTGAGCACAGCTGCCAACTCTAATGAGACACCAAACACACTGGAAAGCTGTACTCTGCATGTGTGCATGGATGGGCATGCATATGAGAGAGAGAGAGAGAGAGAGAGAGAGAGAGAGAGAGAGAGAGACAGAGAGAGAGAGACAGAGAGTCTGGATGTTACCTTGTTTTCCTGGAAAAATAGGACGGAAATGCAACTTATTTGCTTCAAGCATCCTTGGAACTTCTTTCCCAGAGTCAGAAGCTTTTATAAAGAGGAACTCAATATCTTTCATGACAGAAAGGAAGTCTTTAGAAGCAACCTTGTTTTCAGAACCATCTTCTTTGACAAGTGTTCTCTTTATTTCAGTTGGGACAGAAACAGTGGAGGGTGTACCTCCTAAAGGTGACAAATCAGGAGAGTTGCTCTTTTCCCCCTTGAGGAAGTCAGTTTCTGATGCTACACCACCCATAGAAGGGATAGCCAATGAAGCATTGGATAGTTTATGGTCATTTACCCTATTCAGATTTTCAAAACTTCGAACTAGAGTATCTGCAGGAGGCTCATCATCAAATTCATCTTCTGAACCCTGAGTTTCTTCTTTTTCACGACAAGAAGCCCCCTCTTCATCTTCCAGCTCAGGAATTCCCTCCTCCTCCCGAAGCCGTCTTAAATCATCAACAGTTCCTGACCCTTGGTTCAATTCCTTCCCATCTTGGAATGACAATTGATTGTCAATAGGATGCCAAAGACCAAAGAAATCCCACTGTGGAGTTCCTGGCGGCAAAGAAGAAGCTTCAAATGGTGATGATTCTGGTTTTTCAGAGGAACGAGGTGTGATATTTTGTGGAGTACTAGATGAGGTTACCGATCTGATATCAGGTAGAGGGGGTTTCTCTTCAACTATTTTTGAAGACATAACTCCAAATTTCATATGGTTTGCCTGAAAATGACTGGAAGTGGAAGGAGAAGGTGTTGGAGAAAAGGTTTCAGCAGCATCTACACGCTGTGAGAAAGATGGAGAAGAGTATGAGAACTGGGAAAGAGACTTCTCAGTTAAAGCAAGGGGCTCTGGCGTAGCATTAGTTGAAGTGTAAAGGGAAGACTCAACTGGAGCTTCAAACTCAACAAACTTCCTAAGAGCAGTTCCTGAACTTTTTAGTGTCTCAATATATGCAACATGAGCAGCAGCCAGTGAGCATCTCCCATCAAGTGCCTGACGAACATACTTCTTCCTTTCACGACATAACTGCAGGGCCTTATCCTCTTCTATTTTAGAGCCTGCGGCCCCCATATTTCCACCTTCTAAATGACAGATACTCCTCAACAAGCAAACAGGACATAAGGATTCTCCTGGAAATAAATCAACCTCATGTATATTAAATAGACATCTAAAAACATGTTGCAATAGCTTGGAATCATGTTTTCTTGAACCAGGACTGTGTTTACAAAACCTACTAGATTATACTAAGCTAAACTCATTCACAATCAAAGCTTACTATCTTGAAGCAAATACTAAAGGAGCAATAAAACAATCTCAATAAAGATAAAATTGATTCACAATTTATTATCAAAAATAACTATGGAACAAGTCCAATTATTTCAAATTAAGACTGAATGCCAAGACTCCAAGACATATCCTTGCCGAGCATCTTGATCTAGTAGACCATTTCTTCATCAATATTCAAGTAGACCTTCAATAAATGTATCCTCCATATTTAATTAAAAAGCTGCCCAAATTTAAGATTGCAGAGTTAAGTTTTCAGATGCATAATATAGTGGATTTCACAAACCATGCCATGAGAAGCTTCATGCCAAACAAACAGTGCACGCCTTGGGGGAGGGGGAAGAACAGAAAGGTAATGCAAAAGATGATGCTAGATGAACATGGTTGCAATAAGCACCACCATCAACAAGGAGAAAAAAGAATACCGGTTCACAATTTGAGCCAATTAAGTAAGAGCAAGCAAGTGAATGAGCAAACTTAAACTAAAACCATGCATAATCTTGAAAATATTTGAATGGGATTTGAAGGACAATCTCGAACTCAAAATCTATACTAACCCACAACCCTTGAGTAAAAGTTAAAGAGAAGTATGATTAAAGAATGCTCAGACATCTTTAATTTTTCACCAGAAAGCGACACGCAAGTAGAGGGAGAATAAAAAAACAAAAAGCTGCATAGCTCAAAATTTTAAGGCAGAAAAGAAACTCCAGAAAAGGGATGGTAGGAATCTATATGGATATTCACGTGTGCATCTTCAAGACTAAACCAGTATAATTATACCAACAATAGCTATCAAACAATATAATCTTAACATCAATAACTTCTCTTCAACTCAAAACATTTCCCAAAAAGTCATTTCTAAATCCCAAAAAGTCCATCTCTGCTAATCAAAGCTATAAGACATAAAATAAAAACAAAACCCCACAAAGAGGAGAGATGAAAATACCTTGAAGAGAAGAAAACCCAGTCTGTGTGACTCAAAATTGCCGCAAAAGAGAATCAAATTGGAAACCCAGGACACAGTGAGAAGATTAGATTCACCTGAAAAAAAAAAAAAGAAATACGCAACAACAAAATAACAGTTAGAAACAAAATTGATGTAAAAGCATCAATCTTTTCAACAATAAAAAAAGCTTACAAATTAATGAAAGAGAAAACCCAGATAAGAAAACCAATCAAAATATCATCTTGCAAAAGAAAGAACAAATTCGATCAGACGCAAATCGAGTAACTGGTGGCAAAAGCAGATACCTTGAAGAACAAAGCAGCAAAATTTAATAGGAACAAAAGCCAAAAATAAGACTATGAAGGACTGATGGGAAACTTGATAAATATCAATCACATAGATAGTATGGAAAAGAAAAGCTTGGATTTCAGAGCAGAGTAGTATTCATATAGAAGAAGAGAGGATCATAGAAACAAGTGGAACAAGAGAGACAAAGTATAGTTTCTCTCTCTAAACTGTGAAGCTTTTATGACAGAGAGAGAGAGAGATGTGTCATCTAATCAGTCATCAGAGAGAAAGGGGTGCGAATCTGACGGAGGTGTTGCAAGAAGCATACACTGGCCGGTTGCTTCCATGCAAAAGGGCATTTGGAAAACAAAGGCCCATCTATCACCTTGTGGGCTGTGGTCCCCACTTCTTTCTCCTTCTCTCTCTTATACTAGTCTTCTTTTGCCCTTTAAATTTATTATATTACAATTTCTTGTATAATAAATAACAAATTCACCTTCACCCTTGCTTTCTTAGCAGTTAAAAACAAAACCTGAACGACTAAGGACTGTAAAAACCAGCACTAGTCATTGTTCTTTTTCCAAGCCAATATTATTACTACCCAGAAGGCTTGTCCTTGTTCTAACATGAAATTCATCAGATGTCAACTGGTAATATTCCCAAATGAAATCAAAATCACTGACCATTGTATAAGCTGCTGAATATGTATGTGCAATACTTGACAATGAAAAGTCCGGAAGTCTTTTATGCTGTGTCTCAGGCAAGTAAGGGTACTGTACTAGCACTATGATCAGAGAAAAAACAGCTGGTTTCTACTGGAAAATATCAGAAAGATTTCATTATGACCATGATAGCATCAACGGATCCACAGTCCTTGCTTTCTTTTTTTTTCACTTCTTTTTGTTTATTTGTAAGATGTTGATAGAAGTGTCAAAGGAAAAGAAGCACTTTCTCAGGGACAGAATAAAGTGGAGAAAGAGAGTTAATAAATCTTATTATATCAGAATAGAGAAAGAGAAGAGCATCTCTTTTCATAACTACTTTCAGAAACACCTTTATTTGCCTCTTTAACACTGCTTTAGGGGATATGATTAAAGAAATGTGGGAGCATTTGGTTTTTTATTTGTCAAGTTTTGACATTTGGAGCCTGATCAAGTACTCTTTGGGGTTCACACCATGATAAAACCATGCAATGAACTGTTGGGAGCGGGCTCATCTCTGTTAGTTAGAATGCCTATTCTTGCTTTAATAAAACAAAAGATTGTGCATTTCTAATCATTTTCACCATAGTTTAATCTCTTCCTACTTCTCACAAGGATTTTATTTGAAGAACAGTATACCATTGGGCTAGAAATATAAAAGACATATTAAGGATTGGGACCTCTCTTTCAACAACTTCAGTCCTATGTATTCACTTGGAAGTGGGTCAGGCTCATTGCAGATGAAATTTTCAATTTGGCTTAGGATTTTTAGTTTTAGGAAAGTGACAAGAAGCAAAGACAAAATCTTATGTTTAATGATGTCTTTGTGAATGAATCTTCCAAAATACGAATAAAATTAAGAAGGAATGTCCATATAAAAATTGAGAAAAATGGAAACTCAGTGCAGCATTTCACCTTAGCCATTGCATAAAATCCTAGTCTTCTATACTAATTTTACTTCTATTTTCCTTTTCTTTTTTTTTTTCTGGCTGAAGAACATAGAACCTTTCATTGCAATAGATAGATCTAGAGAAAAATGAATTTAGGTTTGATCTGCAAATTCATGAATTCATCAATGTTTTCTTGGCCCACTATCAACTCTCATTAGTAGTTATCAATGCCCATTTTTATTTTATGGACCCTACAAATATCTCATTGTCAATTTGTCTTCATTGATCAATTCAATGTCTTCCAGGCCTTATTTCCATGCTATGATTCTTACCTGAAATTATTTACTACTGCATATTTAGGTTGTGGGGATTTACTGCAGCCAAAACAACTTTTCTTTTCATATTAAATACAATAATTTTCTTAAATATTTTACAAATTCACACCAAGGAATCTTTTAATTGCTAGCAAATCTTAACCCATCCTTTTTAAGTACCAAAAGGATGCTTTTCATAGGAAATACATTGACAGGTTCATAACCAGATTCCAACCAAATATTTATCCCAAAGAAATATACATAAAAATGTGTACTTTTTTCAGTTTATGTATTTTAATCTTAAGCTGTAAGCTAGTGTTTTGTATTGTAATAACCGTCTTGTTGGGTTTCTCTTAACCTCTTTCCGGATCTAATGATTTTGCTTGTATGTTGTTAGCCACATGAAAAGCTTAAAAAGTGAACCTTTTATTCTTAAAACCATTGACTTCGATGAAATTAGTTTAATAAATGGCACCCCAAAAAAGGTAAAGCAAAGAAGCTAAAATGGTATCTGGTAGAAGACCGAGGACGAGAAGAAGTATTAGTAAAACAGTATAATAAAGAGTTAGGTTTATGTTTGCCATGCATATGTGCCAGCAGAATCTGAAGAGAAAAGCAGCTTCCACAGGATTAATTTAGTAATCCCATTTATTTTATTTACTGTCACTGGAAACTTTATTTGATATTCTTTAGACCAGCAAATCTCAGCAACCTTGCCACTTAGCACATGTTTTATGTATATTAAGCTTTGGGGTTAAGATAAATCCTTTGTTTCAGACTCTCAAGTGCCTGTAAGTTGCATACAAGTTTCACGTAGTTTCAACTTTCAAATAGAAGTTAGTTTTATATTTACCATGCATATATGTTAGCAGAATCTAAAGAGTAGAGCAGCTTCTTCAGGATTAAGTTAGTAATCCCATTTTTTTAACTGTCAGTGGAATCTTTTATATCTTTTAGACCAACAAATCTCAGCCACCTTGCCACTTATCACCTGTCTTATGTAAACTAAGATTTGGGATTAAGTTAAATCCTTGGTTTTAGACTCTTAGGTGCCTGTAAGTTTCATACAAGTTTCATACAGAAACTTTGCAGTTGAATATATTTTTTGGGTAAATAGGTTCACCAATTTCTTTGTCAATTATGACTAAGGAACCAGTCATAGATGAAAGTGGCACAGCCTTGACCATCTTATACGAGTAAATAGAGCTAGTTTCTCGAATTGGGAGTAGCCCAATGACATATTTCCTTCAGCTACATTGTGGTAAAGGTTGATTAATAGCATGCTTGATGCACCAGGAACTGACAAAAGGCCAATGACATGAGAGGAAACGTTTTGTGTAGTCAAGAATGGGCTAACGGAGCTGAGGAAAAAGATTGTCTCAGAAGTCAGAAGGGGCTGAAAAAGCAAAAGCAGCCAGCTGTAAAATTTGGCAAAGAAAGCCTGCAGATCTATACAGGAAATGAAGGTGAATTATAATTCAGGGATCCCATCATGAAGAGAATGTGCGTTGGACTTGAAGATAGTCTTGTACAAGACTACTAGGTGGAGCAGCAATGAAGAACAGAAAAAAATATTGGATTTCAGCCAAATTTGATGACAGAAAAGAATGGCTAGAGGTCAATTGTTATAGGCCAGGAAACTTATACATCTTCAATCAGCAATTAAAAGAGAAAATTGGGTTTCTGAGGAAATTTTGGTATTTGGTAACTGATTCCATTCTGAGTAATAGAAAAATTAACTTCAACTTGCAATGCAATTCAATGCCAAAACAAAATGAAACCAATTTTTCTTCACAGAACATGAAAAGTATTTCCTTAATTAACTTTTTTGCCTAATGTATAAAATCAAATTGACAGTGGAGCAGCACTCCTCACTCCCATCATGATCAACTTTCTGGGCATTTTAGATACAGACCGTTGGGACCAGCTTGGAAGCTTGCCAATTTTAAGGTTGCAGCTGTTTATTTAGCTGCATGATTATGCTGGTAGGTACAACAGGAAATTAACATACAGAAAGCAGGCTCTCTTTTATGCTAAGGAGTAATGGATATACATAGAAAGAGAGGTGACCAAAGCGAAGGAAAAATTAAAGGAGGAAATGAAAGGCTATAAAAGCAAAAGGTTAAAGTTAATAACATCAAATAAGTCAGTCACCTGAGTTTTCAATTCCTAAACTTTTTCTTCTTCTGCTGCCAACTAGTGAGGTTTTGGCTTTATTTTGTGTTGCTTTCCGTATTTAGGATATGTGGGTCATTGCCCAAGGAATCTATGCTTGTCACTTACACATGGCTTGCTGCCAATTTCACATGGAGGCAAGTAATAAAAGGAAAACGACAGAAGAAATTTGATCATCTTTATAATATTATTGTTTTGGAAAAAAAATTCTAAAAATCGTGGCATAGAGCAATGCCCTCTCCTTATCCAGGCATTGATCTCTTGTTCTTGTAAGTATAAACAAGTGTATACACACACACACAGATATATATATGTGTATATATATATATATATATATATA